ACAGAAGAGTTGCACGGAGTTTCTCACCTCCAGGTCATCTTCATAACTCAGACCACCCTAGGACATGTGCCACTGTTCCACTGAAAAATGCTGAAGTGAGAATCCATGCACACTAAAAATGTTCTATTCTGATACCCATCTTATGTTAAATAAATGAACAGCTTAGAGTAGTTCCCACAGCAAAAACACATCAGAAGCCCACAACAGTCGTAATATTTAAGGATATATAAAACTCAAGTGACTGTTCTTTTCCAGACCTGTCTTCCAGGAGTTGTTTCTGACAGCAGCACCTGGAAATTCCTCCCTGGGCCAGATATCAGCTAGACCAGAAGACAGATTGACTGTATTATAGCAAAGATTCAGAAATCTAACAGTGTGACACAGCTGAAGGGAGAAAATAGCTGAAAAGTGATGCTTTAAATGCCATTTAATTTTCCTTTCCCTTGCCACAGCTCCCTCTAATGCAGACAAACCATCAGGAGATGGAAATAGAGGCAAAATCAAGTCTTCTTAAAATAAGAAGAAATGACTGACCACTCTCCAATGGGCATTGCTGTATATCAAAAAAGCACTACCAGGCTGGTATTTAGGAAGAGCTATCCTATTTCTGCATCCCAGAAACGTGCAATGGGAGAGCAAGCATCAAAGAGTTTCAGTATCTCTTTGATGAAAGTTTTGCCCTCAGCACCCTAGTAATGTGCTTCCAGCTTGGCCAGAAAAGAAGAAAATACAGAATCATACAAGACCATCCATTCAAGTCTTGTAAATCTTACTTATTCTATGCACAGTGATTATTGCTCTCTTTTTGTTGGTGATATGACAGCCGCTAATTGCTGATCTGAGACTCATCAACCGATTTTATACTAAATAGACAGAATTTTCAGTACATGCTTTCTTGACTGAATAGAAAAACCTTTGAAGGTTTTTCAAAGTCATCTGGCTTCCAGTCCTGTCTGGCTCTTTCTCAACAGGTATTTTGTGTAGCCCTACTTTTTAATTATTTCATCCTCTGCTGCAGGAAACCTCTGAACTGTCAGTGGCAGTGCTGATGGTAAATAAATCATCCTGGTGTTTTAGGAAGCAGAGGTTTACTCTCAAGAGCAAGTGTTCATTTAAGAAGCAGGTCAAACCCTCAATCCGTGACCACAGAAATCCTTCAGGAGAAAATGTGTTCACCGCTCACATTCAGATCCAAGGCCTGCCCTGACTACTCAAGTAGGAGATGCAGTGATGCTACCATGTGTGCTGTCCTCCATCAGGATGAGGTTCCTCGCTGTAGCCTTTGCTGGGCAGCTCATCCTTCTCCTATACTGTCAGATTAGACCACCTTTTCCAGACCCGCTCTTGCAACTGGTCACTGCACATACACAGCAAGGTGAGGAGCCAGACTCACCACTACAGGGTAACTCCTTGCGAATCATGAAATGTTTCCCTATATTGAAAGAGTAAAGTGATTTGAGCAGATCTGCAAATCCAGATCAAACCTAAAATACCAGAAAATTGGGCAGGGATGATGCAGGTTGATTACTCTGCAAAGCTGAACTGTCAGTTCATATTAAGCAAATCTTCCAAGGGCTGAAAATCAATTACATATTAATGAAACACTCATCACAGGGCAATGACAAACCCAGACTATATTTTTTTTAAGATCATTAAACAGACATTCCTGCAGCATCTCTGCTCCCCGTGCTAGCAGTCACCATGAGACAATCTGACTGCAAGGCTTAGCAATCACAGAACGCTCCAGCTAAGTTTACTTTATCTTCCTGAGCACAGGCATTATCATCCGCATTTCCTCTCCAGCGCAGCACAAAGGTTAACATGTAATCGGGGAAAAAAAAACAAGAACAAAGTTGCTTAAAGGATTCTAGGAGGGAAGCAGAATCATTAGGAGAAGTGGGCTTGACATTTCTGTAAAACCATTTAATAACTTCCTGCTGGCTTTCTGTTCTTGTTTTGAATCTTACCAGTCTCAGTAGTAAACCGCCGCTCCGCACAATGAGCAGAGAAGCACGGCATGGAAATAAAGCCAAAGAAAGCAGAGGGACTCGTTGCCTGCCCTGCGGCAGACATCCATTTACACGCACTAGGGATGCCAATTTAAGAACTATTTGCCAACATATTTTTAATCTGCTTTGTGAGAGACACTAAACCAAGTGTTTATTTTATATTACATGGACGGTTTAATGCATGTTTTAAGAGCCAACAGGCACCTTAAAAACCTTTGCTGTCAAAAAGTAAGAGCTGATTGCTGACTACTTTTTGGGAGGGGGTCCCTTTGTCTCTCCTTGACAGCCTGGTGAGCAGCAAAGAAGCCGCTGACATGTCCGTGGGTGCAAGCCCAGGTGTGTAATTAGAAATGCCTCACTGTCCAAAGTCAGATGCTTTCCTGACACAGCACAAGTTACCTGTTGCTGACAGCACTGTTCACCCTATCTGGCAAGTGCCCCCAGTCTGATTTTACTTGCTGCAAATAAAAAGAAGTGTATGCAATGTCAATTAAGAAACCATAGCCAAATCAGTGGGCTCAGCCACAGAGGTACACAGCAGCTCAGGGTGCACTCCACTCAAAGAGAAGAGCCACAAAGTGAACGATGGATTCAGCATAACCAACACTTCCAACAGCATACCTGATAACCACATTTAAAATGTTTTTATAAATCCAGAAATTGTTGGCCACTTCCTACCACCACCCACGCAGAGGAATGACACAGGGCTAACATGGTGCTGTCCCCTGCCCCATCAGCAACTTTCTGCACATCTTCTTATGTGCCACACAAGTCATTGTTTTTAAAATAATACTGTGCTTCAGCATGTCATACTCAAAACCTCATTTTCAGGGGAGTCAAAGAGTCTAATTCTTACATTCACTTCCATCTGATTCAGAGTCATTGGTTTATACTTTTCCATAATTCTGCACATTCCCAAAACACTGTGGAGCTCAATTGTGTGTAACAAATTTCTGACCTTAAAGGAAGGATGGTATTGAAGTACATAGCATACATAAGTTTTATTATTTAGAAAGCTGCATTGTGAACACAAAGATCTGGGCATACCTCATCACTTTAACAGACTTTGAACACTGGAACATTTCTTATTAATGTCTCCAAACATACAAGAGCAATGGTCTAAAGATGCTTCTAATTAAGGCTCAGCTCGAGTCAAACGATTCATCTGAAATCCAGTTCACTTCATCTACCCCCTTTATCTCTGACGGCCAGACAGCTTTTGGCATATTTTCATCCAAGAATCTGGGAGATTCCATTCAAAGAAGAAGAAAAAGACATCGGCTGGTTGGAGATTGAACTGGAGGCTGAAGTCACTGGGATAAAGAGATAAAGACTGAAAGAAAGCAAGAGACTCATGTCAGAAAAGAGGGAAAATACAAGACAGGCAGAAGACAGAAGAAGGGCAGGCAACCGCCACCTGTAGGGGAAAAAAAAAAGAGAAAGAATTGATCACAAAGCACTCAAAGAGCCCACAGCCATGAAAGCGAAGGAGGGACTGGAAGTGACACATGGCAAAAGGGAAGAACCTGATACCATTCAGGTAACTGTCTCAGCTTTGAGCACAATCTCAGGAAGACAATTTTCAAAGGGAAAGCAGTCAGCAATGAAAAACCTACGAGGCAGAGCAGAACAAAGCAATACAAGGGAAAGAGAGGAATGAAAAGCACGGGGACAGGTGAAAAGAGCATAGTGCTATAGGAGAGCTTGCAGTGAAAGGGACAAGGACGGAAAGCCGATGGAAATGATGCTCAGTAGAAAAAGCAGCCTCACAGGCAAGCAGCAAGCTTGTTTCCTGCCTCTTTACTAACACTGGCAGAGAGGAAGAACGTGTCTGAGACACAAGTGCAGGGCCTTAATCATTTGTTTTCAAAAGAGATTTTCTTGACAAGAATTGGGATCTAGACCTTGACTCACCAATTAACTGTATAGCAGCCATCAGGCCCCGGTAAATACCACTCATTGGGCCCCGATGGCGCAGTGAGTCGTGCAAAGGTGCAGCCACTTACTGCTGTGACTCTCCAAGCCCCGGTGACGTGGGCTGTACTTTAAATCAGTGAAAATGAGACAAAAGCCTTTGGCCTCCAGAGCCGGCTAGTGATTCACACAACTCCTCCACTGCAAGAATATTCCAGTCGATGAAAGCAGACGAAACAGCACAGACAAATATAGGGAAGGCAGTACAGGACACGTTAAAATTATTTTAAGGAATTGTAAGTAAAGTTATGCGAAAAGCTGAAAATCCAAAAGAGTTTAAACAGTTTGTGATGTTTCAAGAACTTTAAAGAATGCCTTTACAGCACGTTAATTCAGTTTTTCAACTAACATGTGAATCAAAGCCTATCCATGTTGGAATATTCGAGATGATGGTTACTGAAAGTGACCGAAAAAATGTTTATGTGGAAATCGTAAGAAGAAAAAAGAAGAGAAATTGGGATTTAGGGCAAGCATTGAATCCCAAGCTCGGATCATACCGCCATTATTAACGGGTTTTATGGTTGTAGCGTGAACACCTTCATCATCTAGGCTGGAACAACGTGCAGCGGGCACACCTCACGGGGCCCCCCTCTCCTTGCCTTATCCTCTCGGAGGCCCCGAGGCCCTGGCACCACAGGCACTGTGGCTGCTTCAGCCAGGTGCCCCCCAAGGCGCCAGGCCCTCCACCCCCGAGCCCTGCTTCGGGGATGACGCCAGAGCTCGGGGATGACGTCACGGCTCGGGGATGACGTCACGGCTCCGGGTGGGGGGGGGGGCGGGTGACGTCACGGCGGCACCACCCTTACCTGCCGCTGCTTGTCGCCCCCTTTAGCCGGCATGGCGCCCCCTCCACCGGAAGTTGATTCCGGTAACCATAGCAACTCGCCGGAAGTGCTGCCGCCCAGCCACCCCCTCCCACTCTTTCTCCTCTCCCCCTTTCCCCTCCCCCTCATGAATATGCAAATGAACGGGGCGGGGCGGGGCGGCGGACCCGGAAGCGGCGCGGCTGAGTCACGGCGGCGGCGATGAGGCTGCGGCGGGCGGCGGCGGCGGCGGGCGCCTGAGCCAGGAGGAGCCGGGAGCAGCCCCCGGGAGCCCCCCCCGCCGCCATCCCCCTGCTCTGCACGGCCCTGCCTCGTCCCGCACCGCCCCGTCCCTGCGCTGCTGCCCTGCCCTGCCCCGCCGCCACCATGATGGAGGAGATTGACCGGTTCCAGGTGCCCGCCGTGCGCGCTGAGATGCAGCCGCTGGTGAGCGGCGGGCGGGGCGGGGCGGGAGGCACCCGCTGGGCTGCTGCCTGCTGCCCCACACCCCCCCCCTCCCCCTTTTGGGATTGGGGTTATTGATTAGGGAGGGGAAAGCCAGCCGGCCCCGGGGCCGTTACATAACGGCCGGCCCCTGCTGTGTCATGGCGGAGGGTGGGGGGGGTGGGGGCTGCCCCGAAATGTGCCCCGCATGGGGGCAGGGAGGGGGCACGGGCAGCCCCCCGGGGGCTGGGGGATGAGCAACCCCCCCCGGGTCACCCCCGGCATCCTATGGGTGGGTGGGAGCCGTGCTTGGGGCACTGGGCTTGCTGCAGGCAGCCCCCGGGGTGTGTGTGTGTTTCTGTGTGTTTGTGTGTGTGTAAAAACCGAGGGCACACCAATGGGCTTGTGAGCAGGAGGGCTCCTTTGTGGGGGTGGTCTCCAGGCGGGTTGGAAAAGCTTCGCTGACAAATTGTGGAAATAGTTTCAGGCTGATCTTTTTTTACGGTTCGGTTCCTCGGTTTATAGCCTTTGGGGTGGGAGGAGAGCTGTCCCCGCGAGATGAGGGGACTTGTTGCGTGCTTGCTGTGAGGTTTTGTTGGGCACGGCGAGGTGGCCCCGTGTTACACCTGCTGGGGAAGGCAGTGGGTGTAGTAGTGAGACGAGCGAGTTTGGAAGAGCTGTTGGCAGACAAAAAAGCCAAATCTCTTAAATACGTCCCAAATCAGTTGGTGTTTCTTATGGGATTTTGTTGGGCATATGAGTAAAGGGGTGGAAATGATATTTGCTTGCACGTTTGCATAGACAGAGTGGGCAGCACCTGAGGAGGTGACTTGGTGCAGCCCAGCTGTCTCAGGGTGGGATGGTATGGTAGGTAGTAAGCTTCAGGAGGCTCCCTTCTCCTCCTCAGCTGCCCAAATTATGAACATTTCACAAAAGGATTTCACACATTTAAAAAAAAAATACTCTGAACACAGCTGAAGGAGGTTTTTTCCCTGTGCTTCAGGGTTTCTGTTGATTTTTAAGTAATGGAGTTCATAGTGAAAATGCGTGCATGCGAGGGACTGCTGCAGTGAGTGGATGGTGAGAGATTCCTCCGTGTACCTGGGAATGCTGTCATCAGTCTTGGAAATGGGACAGAGCAAGTCTGGTACAGCATTTCCAGTGGCACCACCTGCTTGATGCTCCTGGTCAGCACCTGGCACACAGGGACTGGTGCTTGTAAGGCTCCTTGCAGTTCAGAAGCTGGCTGGGGTTTGTAGTGGTTTGTTTGGGTGGCCAAATGCTGCTCCGTGCAGCTGTGTTGTTCTGTAGCAGCTACTGCTTGTCCTGTTCCTCTTCCTCTCCTTCCTTCCTACCCTATCCCATGTTTTTAAGTACAAAATAACCCGTGCATCTCATGAATTGTTTTTTTTTTCCCTATCCTCAGTGGAAAAGCTTCAAATTCCACATGGTTGCAGGGACAGTGGTGTGTGCAAAGTTGAAGGCTGAAGGAGTCTAACAGTTTTCCCCATTTAAAGGGCTGAGGTAGAAGCTTGTTTTCCAGGTGTGAGATGAGAGCCAGAACTCTTCAAATTTAAGAGATCAGTACAGCTGGTAAATGCTTAAGGAAAGCCATTTTCAGAACATAGTGTTTCTAATCCCATAAGTATCCAAACCTGCCACTGACAGTGTTGATCCTTTGTCTGTCAGGGGTGACAGAGTTGACAAATGGTAAAAATGCTTGCGGTTGTTCTTGTGGTTCTTCGATTCTCTAATTTCTAACTCGTGTAGGGGAAATAAACCTGTCTATACAAGCTGATGTGGACTTGTTCCATGCCCTACTGGTGTGTATTTTTGCCAAGCACAAGTCTCCCATCTTGGGAGGTGTCAAAAGCCTCCTGGGCAGCAGTGCCAGGGTGGCACTGCTTGAGCTGGGGCTTGGAGCAGGTGACCTCCAGAGGTTCCTTTGCAGTGGTTCTGCACTAATGTCTGGTGTCCATGCAGCATGCATCATGACACTCACAGTACTGTATTTGCTGAGCAGGGACAGAGTACTTGGCCCATCTATGACTTTTTGCCCAATTCCTTAAAATTCAAATGTGTCTGGAGGGGGAGCCTTGTCTCATGTCCGGCAAAGGGTTGTGTTGGTGTCTTAGTGCAAGGCTAAGGGCAGCACCTGACTGGAGCTGTGCGGAGCATCACTTGCTCCGACAAAGCCTGGTGGGATCTCTGGTTGCTGCAAGCTGCTCCAAGCTAATAATGGGGTTGGTCAGGGGTTGTGTTGCCGAGCAGAAGAGTATTTGTTCTGCAGGCTGCGTGCTGGCCAGCTCTGTTGTGATTCCCATAACCTTCTCATCAACTGCAGTGTTTTGGAGCTAGGAGGGTGGGCAGTCATTTCCTTCAGCCTGTTTGGATAAGAAACACCAAGTCAGACAAGCTGCCTTGATTCTGCAAACATGGATTATGAGAAATGCTGACCCAAGAGAAGGTTCAGTGCAGGACTTAACGAGAGGGATTTGTTGCACAGAAATGGACAGGATGCCCTACAGAACTTGGATCAACACTGACAAGTCATAGGGCAGGACAAGGCCCAGTGTTTCACGTCTCTGCAAGATGTATTATTCTGCATGTCTTGATACTGTGATGCAATTCAGTACACATTCCTTCTGGAACGCACATGTGGCATCTTTCTATGAGATTGGAATGGTTTTGATTCTGATTTCCTGTCTTGGATACTGGTGGCTCTTGACTTCCATCCCCAGAGTATCTGCCCCTTCAAGTTAATTAATATACTCATTTTCCTGGGGTCTTGTTTACTCCTAATACTTAATATCATATGTTTCCTATCAACGTGATGCAAGCTCAACTGTGGAAACTCTGTTCTACTTAATTTCTCTTTGATCTCTGCCTGGTCACGATCCTTCTGATCCTTCCCCACAAAAAGGGATTTCTTCAGTAGCTGCTGGGCAGCAGGTTAGTTTCAGAGAGAGCCAAGTTCCAACAGTGCTGGGGTGCGTGATGTGATAAGGCCTGATAGATGGTATTTCTGGGACACTTTCGCTCTATGGGTAGCTGTCTTTGATGTGGCTGGGGTTTGATGTGTTAACTTGCAACTAGAGAAACACTGCAAGCCTTTTGTTGCATTGTTGTGATGATTGGTGTGCGCTTGTTTTCTCCAATTGCTTTTTTTTTTTTATGGAAGGATTGATAACACTTCATTCTTGTTGCAGAGGTAGGTGTTAAACAGAGGGAGAAGTGAAGGGACATTTGCCCAGTGAAGATGCCCCAGAGCAAGTGCATTAAAATAGTCTGGAGTAGGAATGGGGCAGCCTGTAGTTACATGCGGACCTATCCTAACAAAAGTTCAGCACGGGAACTTCACTACACGCTCTTCCCATGACTTAGAAGCTTGTTGTGTTGGCTAAACTCCTGCAAAATCCTTCCTATTTCTGTTAGAATGGAATGTACCAAGCCCAGTGCAGTGAGGTTGTATCTTGAATTTTGGCAGAATGTGGAAACCCTCCTGAGCCCGGCTGGTGTATGGTGGCAAACTGACAGATGACAGTGTTGGATCGCACATCGTTCCTGTACGGTAACGCAGGCAGTTGCTGTTCTTAGCACGGAAATGCAAGTAGAATAAAAGTGCATTTGCCCACATGGCATCAGTACCGCTTTTCCTGAGGAAAAAGCACCTGCCAAAATGCAGCAGCTTCAGAGGAGCTTTTCCACAAACTGCTGAGACTTTGGCTTGATTTCTGGAAGTGGCAGCTGGAACACAATATTTTAATTTCCCAGTTCTCCACCTGCTTGAAAAATTGAATTCTTTGCAGAGAAATTGGGCCAATGGTCCTTATATCTACTTCTGAAGTGTTGTGGCTGGGCTGGTTCCTCTCAGAGGTTTGCCATGCTGTGGAGCATTGGGTTGGCAGCTCGAGTTGTGACTGCTAAAGCTGACCAAAGGATTTCAAGTGGGCATGTCCTGCAGTGATGCTGATGGCTCTCTAGTTGAGATGCTGAATCCACGCTGATCCTGGAGGTGCAAAATTTCTGGAAAACTCAAAGATGCAGAAGTTGCATTTCCATGCACCTTTTCTTGAAAATTTCTTTTTCTTTTTTTTTTTTCTTCACTTTTTTGGTTTCTATATACTGGGTACTTAGTTTTTCAAAAATGAACTATAATTTCAGTCAGTAGACAGCATGAGCATTCAGCATGCTTATAAAATCTGCATTGTTAGCTTTTGGAAATATTGGCCGTCTCCTGTTAGGGAAGTTGTGCTGTGTTTTAAGGTCTTTTTTGTTTTGCCTGATGCATCTCTAAAATAAGGGAGAACCTGAAAATAGAAAAGCAAGAGTTACTACCACTCAAAAAGAAAGGTTATACCTGTAGGGCTTAGAAATGGTATGTTAATGTAACATTAGGTCTCAAGTGCAGCTAGACAAGAAACTCATCTCTCTAGAAGGAAAAAGCTTCTAAAATGAAAATGTCATCCCTATGTATATTCATGGTAATGTAGCCCAGGGGTTACAGAGCTATATGTTTTGTAAATGCCTGCAGTACATGGGACTTGTAATGGCTCAGTGCTACAAGTTCTGAAATATTTCTATTTCAGATGGTACTTCTTTCAGTTATACAATCTGACTTGATGTGCTGCGGTGTCATTTATAACCGGAGTCTTAAGAGTGATCTCCCTGAATACTTTGGTTCTGTCATGGTTGTTGTCCCCCGTATTGTACCAGGCCCATGGTGCAGAGGTACAGGAGCAATCTCCTTTTTTTCCCCAGGCCATGGAAGAGCTCAGGAAGTTATTCTAGCACAGGCTGTGCTGAGGGATGCGGCTGCCGCTGCCAAAGGGTGCAGGAGTGCTGGCTCTGCAGGCTGCTTCCACTTTTCCACTTCTTTGCATAAAATCTTAAACGTAGTTCTTCTGTCAGTCATGTTGGGAGATCCCTTCACGAGCAAAGAAAGGTGTTTAAAAAGGGACACTGTGAACTTAATGAAGAATTAAACCTGCACAGCCTCCTCT